ATATGGATATAGATATCGAGGATATAGATATATATATATATATATATATATCAAGGGTATAGATATAGATATCGATATATAGATATAGATATAGATATAGATACAGATATAGAAATAGATATAGGTATAGGTATAGGTATAGGTATAGGTATAGGTATAGGTATAGGTATAGGTATAGGTATAGGTATAGGTATAGATATAGATATAGATATAGATATAGATATAGATATAGATATAGGTATAGGTATAGGTATAGGTATAGGTATAGGTATAGGTATAGGTACAGACATAGACAAAGACATACAGATATATAGGATATAGAGGATATAGAGGATATAAATGATATCGATGATATCGATGATATAGATATCGAGGATATAGATATAGATATCGAGAATATAGATATAGATATCCAGGATATAGATATAAATATCGAGGATATAGATATAGATCTCGATGATATAGATATAGAAATCGAGGATATAGATATCGAGGATATAGATATAAATATCGAGGATATAGATATAGATCTCGATGATATAGATATAGATATCGAGGATATAGATATAGATATCGAGGATATAGATATAGATATCGAGGATATAGATATAGATATCGAGGATATAGATGTAGATATCGAGGATATAGATATAGATATCGAGGATATAGATACAGATGTCGAGGATATAGATACAGATATCGAGGATATAGATACAGATATCGAGGATATAGATACAGATATCGAGGATATAGATATAGAGGATATAGATATAGATATCGAGGATATAGATATAGATATCGAGGCTATAGATATAGATATCGAGGATATATATATAGATATCGAGGATATAGATATAGATATCGAGGATATAGATATAGATATCGAGGATATAGATATAGATATCGAGGATATAGATATAGATATCGAGGATATAGATATAGATATCGAGGATATAGATATAGATATCGAGGATATAGATATAGATATCGAGGATATAGATATAGATATCGAGGATATAGATATAGATATCGAGGATATAGATATATATATCGAGGATATAGATATAGATATCGAGGATATAAATATAAATATCAATTATATAGATATAGATATCGAGGATATAGATATAGATATCGAGGATATAGATATAGATATCGAGGATATAGATATAGATATCGCGGATATAGATATAGATATCGAGGATATAGATATAGATACCGAGAATATATATATAGATATCGAGGACATAGATATAGATATCGAGGATATAGATATAAATATGGAGGATATAGTTATAGATAGCGAGGATATAGTTATAGATATCGACGATATAGATATTGAGGATATAGATATAGATATCGAGGATATAGATATAGATATCGAGGATATAGATATAGATATCGAGGATATAGATATAAATATCGAGGATATAGATATAGATCTCGATGATATAGATATAGATATCGAGGATATAGATATCGAGGATATAGATATAGATATCGAGGATATAGATATAGATATCGAGGATATAGATATAGATATTGAGATTATAGATATAGATATCGAGGATATAGATATAGATATCGAGGATATAGATATCGAGGATATAGATATAAATATCGAGGATATAGATATAGATCTCGATGATATAGATATAGATATCGAGGATATAGATATAGATATCGAGGATATAGATATAGATATCGAGGATATAGATATAGATATCGAGGATATAGATGTAGATATCGAGGATATAGATATAGATATCGAGGATATAGATACAGATGTCGAGGATATAGATACAGATATCGAGGATATAGATACAGATATCGAGGATATAGATACAGATTTTGAGGATATAGATATAGAGGATATAGATATAGATATCGAGGATATAGATATAGATATCGAGGCTATAGATATAGATATCGAGGATATATATATAGATATCGAGGATATAGATATAGATATCTAGGATATAGATATAAATATCGAGGATATAGATATAGATATCGAGGATATAAATATAAATATCAATCATATAGATATAGATATCGAGGATATAGATATAGATATCGAGGATATAGATATAGATATCGAGGATATAGATATAGATATCGAGGTTATAGAAATAGATATCGAGGATATAGATATAGATATCGAGGATATAGATATAGATATCGATGATATAGATCTAGATATCGAGGATATAGATACAGATATCGAAGATAAAGATATAGATATCGAGGATATAGATATAGATATAGATATAGAGGATATAGAGGATATATATATAGATATCGGATATAGATATAGATGTAGATGTAGATGTGGATGTAAGTGTGGATATAGATGATATATATAAAGATGTGGATGTTAATGTGAATGTGGACGTGGATTGAGACGTGGATTGAGGTTGAGGTACAGGTAGAGGTAGAGATAGAAGTTAGAAGTAAAGAAAGAGACAGATAGAAATACAGACGTAGAGGTAGAGGCAGAGGTAGAGGTTGAGGTAGAAATATTAATAGACGTAGAATTTGACGTATATGTAGATGTAGACTTTGATGTAGAAATAGAATTAGAAATAGAAGTAGAAGTTGAAGTAGATGTAGATGTAGATAAAGATGTAGATAAATAGAAATACATATAGATATGTACATAGATATAGATGTGGATGTTAAAGTGAATGTGGATGTGGCAGAAGAAGAGATAGAGATAGAGGTATAAGTTGACTTAGATGTACACGGAGAGGTAGATGTAGATGTAAATATGTATGAGGTAGAGATAAAGGTAGAGGTAGATGTAGAGGTAGAAGTGAAGATAGAGGTAGAGACAGAGAAATGGTATATCTCTACCTCTATTTCTATTTTTCTCTACCTCTCCATGTACCTCTACATCTTACTATATCTCAATCTCTTACTTTTTCTTTTTCTCTATCTCTATCTCTTCCTCTGCCACATCCCCTTCCACATTCAATTTAGCATCCATGTACATATCCATCTCTTCTTCTACCCCTCTCTGACACTTTTCTAATTCTACATCTATTTCTACCTTTATTTCTACCTCTACCTCTATCTCTATCCACATCCACATCCACATCCTGTTTAGTATTCACATCTATATCTATCTCTCTCTCTTTCTCTTTCTATGTCTCTTGCTCTACCTCCACCTCTATCTCTACCTCTACCTCAACCTCTACCTCTACCTCTACCTCTTCCTCTACCTCTACCTCTACCTCTACCTCTACCTCTACCTCTACCTCTACCTCTACCTCTACCTCTACCTCTACCTCTTCCTCTACCTCTACCTCTACCTCTACCTCTACCTCTACCTCTACCTCTACCTCTACCTCTACCTCTACCTCTATCTCTATCTCTATCTCTATCTCTATCTCTACCGCTGCCTCTTACTGTACCTGTACCTGTACCTGTACCTGTACCTGTACCTGTACCTGTACCTGTACCTGTACCTGTACCTGTACCTGTACCTGTACCTGTACCTGTACCTGTACCTGTACCTGTACCTGTACCTGTACCTGTACCTGTACCTGTACCTGTACCTGTACCTGTACCTGTACCTGTACCTGTACCTGTACCTGTACCTGTACCTGTACCTCTACCTCTACCTCTACCTCTACCTCTACATCTACATCTACATCTACATCTACATCTACATCTACATCTACATCTACATCTACATCTACATCTACATCTACATCTACATCTACATCTACATCTACATCTACATCTACATCTACATCTACATCTACATCTACATCTACATCTACATCTACATCTACATCTACATCTACATCTACATCTACATCTACATCTACATCTACATCTACATCTACATCTACATCTACATCTACATCTACATCTACATCTACATCTACATCTACATCTACATCTACATCTACATCTACATCTACATCTACATCTACATCTACATCTACATCTACATCTACATCTACATCTACATCTACATCTACATCTACATCTACATCTACATCTACATCTACATCTACATCTACATCTACATCTACATCTACATCTACATCTACATCTACATCTACATCTACATCTACATCTACATCTACATCTACATCTACATCTACATCTACATCTACATCTACATCTACATCTACATCTACATCTACATCTACATCTACATCTACATCTACATCTACATCTTCATCTACATCTACATCTACATCTACATCTACATCTACATCTACATCTACATCTACATCGGCATCAATATATATATATATATATATATATATATATATATATATATATATATATATATATATATATATGTGTGTGTGTGTATATATATATATATATATATATATATATATATATATATATATATATATATATATATATATATTTATATATATATATATAGGTATAGGTAGTTCATTAAGTATATGACTTTGTTCCATTAGAAACCTGATTCGTGTCATGAGTCATACATTTGCACGTAGCCAACATATTGTCTGTTAACTGTACTATCATGCTTGTATTTTTACTTACTAGAAATACATGCAATCAATCATCTTGTCATAATCATCGTGCACAAAATCTTTTCAGATCGTGAACTTTTTCATGCAGCTGATGTTTATGTAATGATTAAGTTCGTCTGTCAATGGGACTATTTAAAACTAATTTGTTAAATTAGCGCACCCAGTCATCGGCGCTTATGGACGAGTTTAGAGGGAAAAAAAAAAAGAAAACAATTCCGAATTGGGTTTGTTTGTTTTTCGTGTTGGATTCTCTTTGTGCAGACAAATTTTCTGATGACTTGGTGATGGTGACTTGGTGATGGTGACTTGGTGATGACTGCTCGGGACTTCCAGGCCGACTGATACAAAGGGTTTAGTCACGAGGCATCCATGGCCGGTCATGACACATAGTTAACCGGTCACGACACTTCGATGGCCGGTCATGACTCATCAATGGCCGGTCATGACCCTTCAATGGCCGGTCATGACCTATCGATGGCCGGTCACGACCCTTCCATGGACACTGTCAAGACACATAGTTGGCCGGTCACGATACTTCGATGGCCGGTCATGACCCATCAATGGCCGGTCATGACCTATCGATGGCCGGTCACTACCCTTCCATGGCCTGTCAAGACACATAGTTAGCCGGTCACGACACTTCGATGGCCGGTCATGACCCATCAATGGCCGGTCACGACACATCGATGGCCGGTCATGACTCATCAATGGCCGGTCATGACCTATAGATGGCCGGTCACGACCCTTCCATGGCCTGTCAAGACACATAGTTGGCCGGTCACGACACATCGATGGCCGGTCATGACCTATCAATGGCCGGTCATGACCCTTCCGAGGCCTGTCAAGACACATGGTTGGCCGATCACGACTTTTCGGTGGCCAGTCACGACACATGAATGGCCGGTCATGACTCATCGATGGCCAACCACGACCCATCGAAGTCCAGCCACGACACATTGATGGCCAGTCGTAGAAGGGTCATCCATATATTAAGTAAAAACATTATTTTTTACTTTTTTTTGTTTGTTTTTATTCTCGCGGTCCTCAGCTTTTGAGCCTCCCCTGTCCGGGTGTCCACACCCATCACCGCAATATAAAGTTCAATCTCTTACCCCAGTACGCCCAAATTAGGTATAACAATTCTAATTGAATTTATATATTATAAAACACAAAAGCGGATAAGGGGTAGTATAAATACAATTTAAATTAAGTTTAAAAAATCATGAATTGAAAAATTAATGCGTGCGTGTGTATGCGTATGGTTATGCGTATGCGAATGCGTATGCAAATACATGTTTATTTTTACAGTTATGGTTTCACCTAGATCTGCCATAGATTCACTAGTATACGATTTACTTTCGAAACTACACTCCTACTGCTAAATATTCACTTCCCTACTTAGATTGTAGAATACACCAGTACTTGATATCTTACATTGTATATCCAATACTACACACACACACACACACACACACACATATATATATATATATATATATATATATATATATATATATATATATATATATATATATATATATATAGTACTTGATATCTTACATTTTATCCAATACCAATCTCTTTCTCTCTCTCTCTCTCTCTCTCTCTCTCTCTCTCTCTCTATATATATATATATATATATATATATATATATATATATATATGTATATATATATATATATATATATATATATATATATATATATATATATATATATATATACTTGCTATCTTACATTTTATATCCACCCAGCTCTAATGGGTACCTGACTATAGGAAAGTAAAGGCGGATAGTGATAGAGATAACCCTTATGCCGAGGTCACCGAAACACGCAAACTCTGCTTAATTAGTAGGGTGTCTCCTTTGTTATACACCCTCGATAGTTTTCTACTGAATAAGAATCACTTTTATAGATCCACTATAAACGACCCACCTCTACCTACCACAAAGCAAGCTTCAAAATCCATAAGCCTTGTCGCTCTATCGTATATCCACCACTCTAGAACCTTCAGTTTTAACTCATCTTTACAGATCTCGCTAAAATTCCTCGACTGTAAAGTGTACCACATTTAACACTTTCACGGTTCAAAACACTCGCCAAAACCCGTCAAAAAATAAAATCAATTATAAAATCTTTATCAGAAAACAAAAAGAAATCGGCGAGGACACCACACGCAGGTATTGTAAGATGTAATAAGAATAAGTGTATACTTGAGCGATTTTAGCCGAGTTTTTACACAAGCCCACATATGGCGTCACATAATTCCAGACCCCCTCCACACAAATCAAATACCACCCCCCAACCCCCTTTCACACGCATACACAAATCTAAAGAGCCGTACCATAATTCCAATAAAAAATTTTTTTCAGATTTTTATTTAAAAGTAAAATGAGACACCATTCGTAGCACTTTTTGCACTCCTTGTCCCAACCCTATAAGTAGCAAGACATGACACCCTTCAGGGGTTGACATAATTTTATGACGAACTCCTAAAGAGTGGTATAATGGACAGCTTGCTTTTCTTACAATCATTCTACAGAAATGTTTCATTTTAAATTTACAAAAAAAAAAAAAAAAAAGATTACTTTTGAAGGAAATTATCTTAATCTTTAACATTGCTAATACATTTTTATGCTAAACCTTTAAAAAAATCAATTGCATATCATCCATGGTTGAAATGAATTTAGTCTAGCTATGGCCGAAAATGTTTTTTTAAAAGATACTGTGTAGCTTGCAGTTCTTCGTATGTTGTTGCTCTTGTGTTTGCTGTTCTTCGTATCTTGCTGTTCTTCGTATTTTGTTGTTCTTCGTATCTTGTTCTTCGTATCTCCCTGTTCTTCGTATCTTGTTCTTCGTATCTGCTGTTCGTGTTTTTCTGTTCTTCGTTTCTTGCTGTTCTTTGTATTTTGCTCTTCTTCATATGTTGTTGTTCGTAACTTGTTGTTCTTCGTATCTTGTTGTTCTTCGTATCTTGCTGTTCAACGTATTTTGCTGTTCTTCGTATTTTGCTGTTCTTCGTATCTTGTTCTTCGTATCTTGCTGTTCTTCGTATCTCGGGATTTAGATAAACATTGAAATGCCCACAAGTTCCACTCTTAAGTTGTTCATAAGTTGCATTCACCAAATTAGACAAACATAAAAAGACAACAGTCCAACGTTGAAGTTATACGTTAGATGCACTTAGAGATTCACCCAATCACACAAACATAAAAAAGACCACAGTCCAACGCTGAAGGTATTCTTAACTTGCAATTAGAGATTCATCAAATCAAACACAGTCCAACGCTGAAGTTGCTCGTCAGCTGCATTCTCAAATTCACCGAATCTGATAAACATCAAAATGACCACAGTCCAATTCTCCCGTAAACCTCAGCTTTACACTCGGGTGTGTAGCGCACCCAAAGCTCTGCAGCAAAGATCCGTTAAAGTAGACTTGAAACTCAAACGGATACAACTCGGCCGCAGCAGCCAGTTCGCAGGTCGACCCGAAGGCTGATCTTTTCGACATTTCCTTTTCGTAAGATTGCTTAGACTGGAAACAGTCCCCGTTGGGTTTGAATGAAATAGCACTGAATCTCTCCCAATGAGTCACTACATGACGTACTATTTTCCTTCTGACGTCTCCGCTTCCTTGAATATTCCCATGCACAAGGTAACAAATTGAATGAAATAAACAGGATCCGTCCCGAGGCATCTCAACAACGTAGTGTGGGACCCGCTGGCCGTCACAACAGAGAATCTCCATGATTTGATGTCTTGGAAGTAGAGAAAACCACTATAGCAAACTATGGGCAGATATTGAAGCGGTGCAAGCCTAACACGAATCAAAAACAGACAACACAGATGGATGACTTCAACGCGACTAAATAAACCGTCACTAAAACGGCTAGACAAGTAAAACAAAGTTGATGAAAACATGATAGGCTAGTTGGATAGTTCAGCCAGTCTGACGTTAACATGTCTCAGTTCAGTTTAAAAAAAAAATGACAAGTCAGTTTAAATAATAGTAAACTGCAAGGTATTAGAAATTTTTGTCGATATCTTATTTTTTTGCAGTTTACTCACAAACATAAAAACGCAGGCATTCGTATTTAGTACATATATATATATATATATATATATATATATATATATATATATATATATAACACAGATATACACACTTGCACATGCACCCTCACACATACACACACACACACACACACACACACACACACATATATATATATATATATATATATATATATATATATATATATATATATATATATATATATATGCCAATATATATAAAGGTACATAACTAATGAAAATATACACAAAAATGACTATAAAATAATTTAATACTTCAGGTACAGATATTACGCAAGACGCCTTTACTAAAGATAGCGTATTCAATGTAAATTTTTCCTCCTGTTCCTGATTAGAACAAATGTACACTAATTAGATGAATCTGTTCGGGGAGAACAGTTCTTGTCTAGCCGAGTCACAGGCGTTGCTGAAGGGAGGGGGCGGCCACCCCGGGTGTCAACCATAGAATGTACACCACATAGGGTGGACAGAATGATTTAAAAAGGCACATTTTCAGCTGCTTTACTTAATTATACACAGTCCAAGTTAACAAAGTCGATTGCTGCGTGTTTTTACTGTTTTCTACAACAATTGTTCATTGTGGATCAACACAATAAGCATCATTGAGAGTTGGCGATCATTATAAAGAGCACCCCTTCGTTTTCCAAGTCTAAGGGTCGCCTTTTCGCGCAAGGTAAATCAGATGGATTTTCACTGGATTGATGTATAGAGAAATCTTTTAACACTTAGGAAAAAAATCTAATCGAAAAATATGAAAGGGTTGGATGATTACTTGGTTGTTTCATATCAACCCATCTTCCGAATATATATATATATATATATATATATATATATATATATGATTGGTAAAGGGGGAAGGTGGAGAGATAGGGTCGAACCAGTGTCGTAACAACCATGCAACCAAGGTGGACAAGGTCCACCGAGGTTCCTGGGCCCCCAAGCTTTTAAAGAAATATGTGGAGTATGTGGAGAAGAAATAAGTACAACAAATCGTACTCTGTTTCATCGATTTCAATCCAATAAAGATGGGTGATTCCAGTCTGATTCCTCCGCTACATTAAAAAAAGTTAAGTTCCCTTTTTCAAACTTGACGGTCTATAGGGCAAGTGAAGTAGAGTTCACATGTTTCTCTGACCTCGGCATATGAAGAGATAGTGTGGTCAGCACTATGCCCAGCCGCCTTTACTTTCCCTAACGTGAGTTAGGTACCCATCAGAGTTGGGTGGACTCAGGGACGGTTTACTGACTTGAACCCGAGACTTACGGGTTAACAGTCCAGCTCTCTTCCGCTAGATTACTCCGTCCCACTCTTTTACATTACTCTATGATTTATTTAGATTGGACTGATGTTTTTCTGCTGCACATTGTCATGCTACTATCACATCAGCTTCCATAGCGATGAAATGATGTTATCTCATGGTCCATCAACCTAGTGGCCCATTTCAAGATGGTTCTAGGCGCATTGTTTACAGCAACAAAAACAGAAACTACTTCTTTATGGAAACCTGAAAGTCAATACAAAGTGGTTGTGCTTCTCGCAACATCTAAAGAGATCATACGGCTACATCTTCATCAGCAGCGGATTGATGGAACTCCTGGAACATCACGACAATATAGTATGAAGATCAAGACGCACGAGAGCAGCTTCATTCAGATCGCATCTGTTTTGGTATGCCAGCAATAGAAAGCTGGGCAGCGATTTGATGAAATGCATGAAATTGCTATCAGGAATGCAGCAAAATTCTGGAGACTGGTGCTAATGCGGCTGGTAAATATTATCTTGACTATTCATGGGTGTCTGACTTTTTGAAGATTTCGTGAAGGTGTTAGAGATGTTGAATGTGTTGGTGGACACAGAGGCTTCGCGAGGCGGGGGCGGGGGGTGCGGACCGCAGCGGGAGACAACATTTGCGGGGTGGAGTGGACGACACCAAGCAAAAAAAAAATGTAAAATATATATAGAATAAATGTTTTTTGACAGTTCAATGAATGGTTAATTAGAGTTAAATTTTTTTTTTAATTTGAAGTAAATAATGACGATCGCCAAAAGAGATGGGGGGGGGGGGGGGGGGGGGGGAAAGTAGGGTAACACCATGACGAAAACATGCAAACTATATAGAAAACAATGCAACACCCAGCTGTATTAACAACCGACTATAGATAAATATCATTAGTAATAAATGTGAACACTTTAAAGCTCCTACCGGGGTGGGGGGGATGTGTGACACCAACAAAACAAAATGTGCATAATAGTGCGCAATATTATTAGTACTTTTTACTTTCTCGTATATACGAAGTATAGAGAAAGACTTGTAATCGTGCAAAAAAGAAAAATCGAGATTTTTACAAATCTCGACGTTTTACATCTCACTGATACGGAAAAACATAATTTTGAAATCTTGTCCGTATGTCTGTGTGTCTGTGTGTCTGTGTGTGTGTGTGTGTGTGTGTAAACACGATAACTTGAGTACCGTTACAGCCAGAGGCGTAGCGAGGGGGGGCGGGGGGGACATATGTCCCCGGGCGCCGACCTTAGGGGGGGCGCCAAATTGAAAGTTTGAGGGGGGGTGCAAATGAAAAGTTCGAGGGGGGGGGGTGCAAATCGAAAGTTTGAGGGGGGGGGGGTGCAAATGAAAAGTTCGAGGAGGGGGTGCAAAGTTTGAGGGGGGGTGCAAATGAAAAGTTCGAGGGGGGGGGGTGCAAATCGAAAATTTGCTCCCGAGGGGGGCGCCAAATTGAAAGTATGTCCCCGGGCGCCGGGAAGGGTCGCTACGCCTCTGGTTACAGCTAGGTTGATGAAATTTCATATATAAGTATTTTATCAAAATTGTAGATCCGTATCAATTTTTGAGCGATTTCCGATAACCGGAAGTGGTACTTTTTCTACTTTGAATTTTTCAAAAGCCTATAACTTGAGTACTATTTCAGATAAATGAAATTTCACATGTAAGTAAAAAAATCTAATTCTCTTCGTTCTGTCAAATTTTTGAGTAATTTCCGTTGACGGGAAGTACTAATTTTTTTCCCACCCTATTTTGCGCAACTCCTGGGCGCGGCCACCATGCCTGGTCACTTTAGGTCCATTATCCTACCCAGCGTATATCTAGGTGTGACATTAATGTCGCTCTACACAACTTTTTACAGTCTGTCCCGTTTTAGGTGGTGAGGTGGGGGAGGGGATAACCAACTCAGTGAACATAGCGTCAGTTTGAAGATGACTGTTCTAAACATACATATACAATTATACATATATACTGAATTAAAAATAGATTTAAATAAGTAACAGTGGTATTATCACAGTAAATTTTTTTTACAGAGGGGTCCATGTAACCCCTAACCCCCCCCCTGCCTACACCACTGCGACCACCCCACCGGCACTTTGTAGCTACGCCGCTGATCACATGGCAGTGTTGCCATTGTCTGCATTTAAAATCACGTGATCATCAACATACATTGGTCGCCTCTAGACCCGCCTATCGCTTTAGAACAACACACGAGGTATCGTTCAGATCAAAGCATTTGAGGGGAGCAGGAATAGAGGCGGGGTCTAACCACCATCCCCATGCCTTAACCTAGACCCCTCATTGGCTTTAAGTGACATGATTAATTATAACTGTCATATGCGAACGATTAGGCGGGGTCTAACCTCCATCCCCATACCCCAACCTAAACCCTCATTGGCTTCGAGTGACATGATTAATTATAACTGTCACATGCAAACGATTAGGCGGGGTTTAACCTCCATCCCCAGGCCCCTACCCAGAGCCTCAATGCCTTTAAAGGATATACAAACTCACTTCCGTCAAACGTGGACGAATTAGGGAACTTTTCTTGTCAGCCAATGGCGACTCTGCTCCGGTTTTGGAGACACCCATCACGCGCCCAAAAAAACGTATAAATACCCTTAACGTGCTAGAAGTCAGTAGATGTTTTCGTGGATTACCTTCCGAATGTTCAACCCTTCTTCATGCGATGGAAAATCAAGGTTGTGTTACCTAGCTGCTATGCGGGATATGTGATCCATACGTAATATGTGATCTATCGCCAGAAAGATATTGGTGACTTTAAAAATGATGAACTTTATTCACTGTTCTCGTATGGACTTTGCATTTTCAACTTTTTGGCTGACATTGTTCTATATGATGCTGGCTCAATGCATCACAGGAGGTGAGTAACAATTTGTACTCATATAATCTTCTCTGCTGATTGAGATGTCGGGCATAGAGATAAGTCAAAACTGTTTCTCATATTGTTAAATTAAGATATGAGTAGCCACACAAAAAATGACTATAAATAATATGCTACAAATTTTAAAAGCATTTCCGGTATAGTCATGACAATATGTGAGCCAGCCTTAAGGCTTGGTTACATGAGAAACAAATTTTGTCTCCTTTAATGCTATTTTATAGTGTCTTTATAGAGTTAGACACCACAGGAATACCAGACGTTGATAAATATATGTAACTGATACACAAAGTAAAGAAAAGAATCCTCTTTGAACCTAGGAATCCATTAGGCATAGGAAGTAGTGTTCATATGTTTCTTGACCTCGGCATATGAAGGGAAGGTGTGGTCAGCACTTTGCCCAGCCGCCTTTGCTCTCACTAACAGGCGTTTGGTACCAATCAGAGCTAAGTGGACGCAGGGACGTTCTACTGACTTGTGGGCTCGAATTCGAACTCGAGACTTCGCAGCCTAGCGCTCTACCGCCTAAGTCACCCCGTATTTAATCTTTGATCAGGATGTTTGAAGAAGTAATTTTAATTCCTTTCATATCACTAACCATAAGTACATACGTAGCAATAAAACTAAACAACATCAAAATAAATAAATTTGGCTATTTTTAAAAATAATTTTTGTAATGTAAGGAGGGGGAACAAAAATGAACAGTTATCGGAAATAGTATCAATATTGTATTTTGATAAAACTGCATGTATGTTTGATTATTTTAATGCTATTATGATATTGATATTATTTTTTGCCTATTTTATACATGTCTTTTATGTTCAAAATTGAAATAATTATTGCAACTGGTATTGCTAGTTTCTAGGATGCATGTAAAAAATTACATTAAAACGTTTAAAAAACAAGCTTTTATGTAATAATATAATAATACAATACTATTTAAATGACTTGAAAGAAAATCATAATATTTAGTAATTTAAATAGTAGTGTATTTATATATGTGAATAAAATCTTTTGGTTTTCTCCTTTTTAGTACATAATTAAATAAAAGCTTGTAGTTAATGCAATTTTTTAAAGTACTTTTATTTTAAAATTTACAACAGAGTTGCATGACTAAAAGCTATTTTGCACCAAATGAACATGATAATGCTCGTATGATAGTGCGGAAAGAGTAGTGAAACAGCCTACTAATTTCAGAAAATGTTTATTTATGCCATACAAAATTAATTAGGCATCAAATTAAGTCAAATTTAATTGCACTGTCTTCAAGTCTTGATTCACTTGCCGAATTTTAAATAAATTGGTTGGTTAGAAGTGCTCGGAATTTCCATTGCCCCTTTCGACATGTGACGACTGGCGACAGACTGACGAAAGACAGAGGAAGCGATAAATAAAAGCTTTAGATAATAAATAAATAATAATAATAAATAACGAGTCTTAAACTCTGATTCTCATAGTTTAAGATAGGGACTTACATCTATAACCGAACATGTTAGTTATTGCTTACTGACAGAGGCGTAGCGACCTTATCCCCGGCGACCGGGGACAAACTTTTCGATTTGCACCCCCCATCAAGATTTTGATTTGCACCCCCCCCCCTCAAACTTTCGATTTGCACCCCCCCTCAAGATTTCAATTTGCACCCCCCTCAACCTTTGAATTTATTTTTCCAACCCATTTTGGCGCCCCCTAAGGTCGTCGCCCGGGGACATATGTCCCCCCCCCCCCGAGCCCCCCCCCCCCCCCCCGAGCCCCCCCCCCCCCCCCTCCCCGCTACTCTACTGCTTACTGATGATTCAGTCTTTGACTACTGATGTGACAGGCTTTGATAACTCGTGTACCTGTCATTGGCAAGTGCTGTGTCAGCCATTGCCTAGTACAATGTCCGTCAATGCGTATGTGTGCGTATCATTCCCTTCTGTTGTGTCAGTTATTGCTAACTACTATGTCAGTATTTACTTGTGTATGTGCATGGGCGGAACTACCATGCCGCTAGAATGGGGGCAAGCCGTTTAAGGGGCCAAATTCCGACAAAAATAAAAAAAAAACAATGATTTTTTTTCATAAATGTTTTTCGTGCAGGTTGATAGTGGTTTTGTTAAAAAAAAAAACAGATCTACCGTAGCATTCATATTTATACAGTAACAAACACACTGTTGCGTAGAAAAATGTTTAAAAAATCTACATGAGCTGTAGTTCACACTATTTCCATGACTTTTTGCCCTTCTTTAAATAGTCTAATAAGGAAATCCAAAAACCTCCTTTTAAATATTTTTGTACTAAGTAAATTAAAAAGCAATAGCTTCTCTTTATTATTATTTAAATAAGACATCTTCTATAATACGTGGGGAAAGTTGGTTCCAAATTGTTCCACTTGGTTGTTGCCAGAAAACCTTTTTCAACCAAAGTTGAGTAATTAATAACATTTGTGAAATAAATACCTAATCACTCCAGGTTTTTCTAAGGCTAGAAATATAAAAAAATTACTAATAATATAATAGTACCTAATTTACCAAACATTTTTATTTTTAATTTGAATTAGTAGAGTCATGGTGTTGTGGTGTAGGGGATGTTACATCATTTAATATAAATAAACTACTAGGCTATATCCCAATCTAGTAATAAGTAAAGCGTAATTAATATCAACATTCTCCTTATAATTTTAATATAGGCCTAATCAATGTAGATCGACCTTTGACTATGGGGTCATCTATTAACGATGTCGCGTTTTGTACCCCCCCCCCCCTCCTCGCCCACTCTCAATCTCTCAATTGTTACCAAAAGCCAGACTTCGCCAAAAAAAGTAAACCTACGCCAACACCCCTCCCCCTTCCCACAATTTTGTTTTTGAAAACAGCGATTTTTAGAAAATATTTAGACTTACTGGGCTTTTGAAACATTTTATGTATTATGTAGGCCTATAGATCAATTATTTTATCCCAATTTATAAAACCTTTTTAATAATGCTAATAAAGTCTTTTGCCTCGACACAAAGGTCCGAATCTCCCCCACCACCTCAAAGCCTGATGTCTTTTATGGACGACAACTACAGTATTTTGCATTATTTATGATATTCATTAATTATTTATATAAGCCCAATTCTATTTGTTGTTTTGATGGTATCTCAGTCATTACAATTAATAAAATAGGTTACATTCACTCATCGTTTCCCCATACATCATTTGCTATAGCTGCCTATCTTTATGGAAAACATCTTTTCCTCAAACATCTTGAATGCGTCTGTTCAGCAACAGTCTGTTTCTTTTGAATATATAAAAATTAAAAAAATGTTCATAAACTTGCACGGCCAATAACAACACATTACCAGGAAACAGGCAGTGATTATAGTTTGCTGAATTTGTGGTTGATGGTTAGTTATCAGCCATGCTTCTCAGCTTGGTCCATATTTATATGCTGGTAAGGCTAAAATTGACAAAAAAAACAACAACACATTCTTGATTCTTCCCTTATCATTAGAATGTTTTACAGCTATGACAGATATAGTACTGTTTTATTTCAACACTATAGAACAGGGGTCTCCAAACTTTTCAGTCCGAGGGCCGCATTAACTATAAATTTTCAGTTCGGGGGCCAGTTTCTTCCAGACATGTCTTTGATTTTTCTGGGCAAAGTTCCTCAGCCATCAGCAACAAACGATTTTTCCTTGGACAAAAAGATCTCCGCGGGCCGGATGAGAGGACCTTGCGGGCCGCATCCGGCCCGCGGGCCGTAGTTTGGAGACCCCTGCTATAGAAGATAGTAATAGTAATAGTTACAATATACTAAAATTGAAGGTTAAAAAAACATAACATATTTTAATAATCGTTCGTTTTGAACGTGATATAATACTAAGTTGAAAAATCTAATGCAAAAACATTAATGTATAATTGTTTGCAGAAGATACCCTTTTATTATTATTAGTTTGTATTACTATAAGCAAGCTGAAAATTTTCATTAGTTATTTCCTTCTATTAATAAAATGGGTTTCATATTAAAATGTTGTTTTGGACTAGTAATAATATTAACAAATGATATAGTAGATATTCATATCCACTCAAATGTAACCAATATGCAAATGAAAGACTTATAAAGGGACTACATAGTTGTTGACACATTTCATAAAGCAAACGCTCTTGAGTTTAAATCTTAATCCTTTAAGTTGTCTCTGATTTAAATTTAATGCAGCTCTAACTGCTAACTGACTGGTTATGGACAGTAAAAGCTGTTTGACATTTTGCTGACCATTCAATTTATTCATATGGAGAGGTAACAAATCTAGATGAAATCTTTTTCAGCACCATGTTCTTAAAAATTATTTTTACCTTGCCAGTAAAGGTAAATAATTAAATTTAGGTAGCGAATATTAGTTTCTGCATACACAATAACAAAGTTTATAATTTACTTTTTTAAATTACCATATAGATCTACATTCATAACTAATATGAAATAAATAGTAGTTCAATAAAAACAAGTTTTCTTGGATCCATCATGTACCCTTGGATTAGTTGGACATAAAAGTTATGTGTAGGACAATTTCTGTAATACCTGAACACTGTTGAAGACAGTGGCGTAGCTACCGTAAAGCTAGCGTAAGCAATGCATAGGGGCCCAAGGCAAATAGGGGCCCTTTTTTCGAAAGTTTGAGGGGGGGGGGGGGGGGGGTTGATGCAAATCGAAAGTCTGGGGGGGAGGGGTGCCTGAGGGGGGGGGGGGGAGGGTGCAAATCGAAAGTTTGTCCCCGGTCGCCGGGAAGGGTCGCTACGCCTCTGAGGGGCACACTAACACTTTTTGCATAGGAGCCCAAAAATCCTAGCTACGCCACTGGCTGAAGAATGCTGTAATTTAAGTCTTCAGAACTGGAGGATTGAGTGACATGATCAGTTTTTTAATGGAATTTCATCTTGACTTGGGTCTTCTCTGTATGCAGTTGTTTAATCCACAGTACCTAAAAAAACATAAATAAACTTCATAAACTGCTATAT